ATTCACTTGTTAAGAACTCGTCACATGTAAAGTGAGATAAGAGCAAAAATATTTTGGCCTGTCGACCTGTTCTCAAGAAGAAGTATTTGGTTTGTTAAAGAGTTCGTACTGAAAAGCAATTATGTACAGCAGGCCACATTGTAAAGATCTCAATTAGTTAGTTATTGAACCATTGGTACAATATCATGTTTATTTATAGTAACGTTTGTTTTTATTGTTTTATTATATTTGATTGTTATTATTATTATTGTTGAAATTTTTTTTTAAATTTGTTTATTTAGTCTCTATCCCTAAGGGTCATTGGCTTAATGTTTCCATTTTATATTCGTTGATAAAAGTGAATATTCTTTAAATATTTGAACAGTTTTTCTATTTCATTCTCCCCATCTTGCAGAATTTCTTTCATTTCCGTTCCCATTTGAAATTTTTTCCTTATATTAGTGTACTTATTGTTGAAATTAAATTGCTTGTTTATTGGACTTATAAGGTATTAATGTTTGTTTTTTGAAAACTCAATGTAAACTGCGTTTCACTTCAGTTCTAAGTGAAACTCCTTCCTGAACACACCTTCCTGAAGAAGACCTACAAAGTCGGGTCGAAACGTTGGCTTTTAATAAAATAGTTTTGCCAGTATTTAGCCTATTTATGACCGCCACCCCAGACCATCTCCTTCCTTATATATATTTTACTTTGTATTTTTTTTTTAAGTATAATAAATACGTTTTCATTCATTCATTCATAATATTATCAGTCTATTCAGCACACACAATTGGTCACGCTTTCAATCTGCTTAATGGATCCTCAGCTTGTCCCAATATGAAAATTGGAAAATATCCCTAAAAAATAGTTGAGCAATATGACAAAACTATTCTGAACTTATTATTATTGTACTCGCTTAGGATCTATTATTTGGTACAGAAGAACATTGGTTTCTAGTTCTATCACTTATTAAGGATATAGAAGCCTATTTATTAATAAGAGTATAGAAGCCACACCTAGATATATTTTTTATTTATTAGAAATATAATAAGTTTTTTTCTATATTATATGAAGTGCTAAAATGGTCACAGAGAATTACTCCCATAAATAGTAACATTTTAATTTTTAAAATCTAAATCTGCGTTAAGTATCTCATGGCAACTATACCACCTGACAGACTTGCGGCAAAAATTACGATTTATATTGAAAAGGGTACATTTTTTTGCTTTAAAATATCAGGGCTGATCGCTCTGAAGGAACTGTAATAGCCATTGATGTTTGTTTCAAAATATTTAAAACACATTTACACCGTATCGATTCGGGGATTTTGAAACCTCTCAAGTTTTGAAATTGGTATTGGTCACATCTCAATGAAATTCCATATCTATTGATATCTCATTCATCAAAAGCTATAGCTCCTGGGAGTCGGAAAAGAGATCTATATTCAGAAATACTGTAAATTAAAGAGTTGCATTTTAAATAAAGTTGATATTATAAAATGAAAATATAGAATTAAAAAAGAGACACATTTTTTTTATGCTATGAAAAAAAGAAAAGCTGATTCTGTATCTGGTGGCGTTAATTTCGAAATGTGAATTATTTTTCAAATATTGCAATGTCTGAGAAACATACATCAAATTGATTTTGAAAATATGTTTTAAGGTAATATTTTTTTCGTAGAGCAGCCAAATCTAAGCCAAAATATGGCAGAGGTTGAGGAGGAGGCAATGGCTGAAAGCGGATGAATATGAGAAGACTTAAGGCCGCGCGAAGGAGGAATGCAGGAGAGGGATCTCCTTTCCACGGCTCTTGTTTAATGGCAGTTAGTTACAAATAAACTGCCTCCTCTTTCAGCCTTTCGTCTCTTCTATTTTCTTTATACTACCTTCATTATATCGCCTTATCTTCTATCTGCTACCCTTCGCATAGAGGGGACATCCGACATGAAAGGGGCTCTGTCTGAAGGATGTGCTGTAGGAAAAAACCGATAGGGCTAAATCGGCCGTTCATCTGGCTATAGAAATATAGCATCATCTCTATTCTGTTATTTGTCTTACACTTCATTTAAATGCTCTCGTTCTGATGTTCGCTAATATATATATATATATATATATATATATATATATATATATAATATATATATATATATATATATATATATATATATATATATATATATATATTATGGAATAAAAAAATAAAATAAAATTCTAAAAGCTCCTCTTTTACACGTCAGCATTTTTATAACCGAGGGTCGATCCAAACCAGAATACATTTTCGAATTACTGTTTCCAACTTTACAATGCTCACTTTCAAGAAAATTTAACATGCTCAGTCAAAATTTTGTATCAGGTTTGTTCATGGCGGAGTATAACAACACCACTTATTAGGTAGCATTGAATCTAAATATCAAATAAAGTTTTGTGAAAATATATTTATTTTCGAAACCGGCCTTCTTTTCCCAAAACAAGCAATGAAACTTGCATTTATTAAGTATTTTTAAAAAAATAATTCGTCGAAAGCTCTTTTAAGAGGTTTATTCAAGTGAAAGTTAAAAAAAAAAATATTAATATTATCGTAAATAAAATGCTTGTATTTCATAGTAAAATAATAAACTTTCCTCCAATTTATACACGATTTTTTTCTCTCTAAACCGAATCCCAGTCAATCTTTTTTTCTTTGTTTAAAAACAGGCATTGAAATTAATTTTTTTCCAAAAGTGGCCTTATTCAAATTTCAATGTATTTTAATTACTATACTCAGTAATCAGTGATTTTAGAAATGTATGCTATAATTTAAGAATTTCTTAAGTTATTTTTAAAAAATATCGGATTTTATTACTACAATTGGAATAGAAAATATACTTTTTGGCTTTTCCCGAAAATTTTTCGATGATTACTTAGCAAAAAAAAAAAATTCGAAATTTTAGAAGAAAAGATTTTTTAAGTGTGGAAATATCTGTTATATAATTATAGATTTGTGGCTTCGATTTAAATGATAGTTTTGTTAAATTTTATTAATAGTCCGTAGTACAAGGCAGCTTTTTACAAAATTAATAACATCCGCCTGAAACTTCGATAATAGTTTCATCTCATCGTAACCTACAAATATTTTATTTACGATAATTTTTGGAATTTGTGTGTTTTCAATCTAGAGGTCGGCAAACTTTGTCTATTTAATTAGATACTAAAAACTTGTAAATACCCATTTGCTTTCCGCTTTGATCGTATGATAATTTGAACACAAAATCGAGGAAAAAGGTGGCCTACAAAAATATTGGGCTATTGGTAGTACGTCACGCTAAACGGCTCAATATTTCTGAAGGAGGATGTTAATAATTTGATAAAAAGGGGTCTGTACGACGGACTATAATTACATCACATTGTTAAGATTAAAACTGCTAAAATACTTTGAACATTAAATTTGGATCTATTTTATATCATAATATATTATGACTTTTTTTATTAATATATTGCAGAGGGTTTAAGTATTTTTATTTTGCAGTGATTCCGCCGTCACGAATGAGAACTATTTTAATTGGTTGTTTGGAGTATTATAATAAAATTTTAAATTATATAAAATTATAGTAGGTGGATTATTAAAGATAACAGTGCCGAGGAAAACATAATCCAGTAACGCAGCTAGGCATTTGACCCACACGACCTCAGCGCTTCGTGCTATTCCCCTGCCACCTTCACTTTTGACTAAAAACTTAATCTCTCTCTAATGCAACCGGATATAAAGTATAGAGTTATTTTATAAAATTATAATATTTATAAAGTCGTTTCTTAAATTCATAATTTTTATTTATCTATATTTATATTATTTAATGAATATTGTACTTCATTGCTTTTAGAAGCACCTATGTCGGTTTTTTTGTTTTGTTTTTAGGATGTCTTACATGATCATCTGTCCTTAAAGTTAAAATAAATAAAATTTAAATCCATTCATTTTTTTGTTTTAGGTGAAATTAATTTTAATAATATAAAGTAAAACTATGTTATTTCACCATATTTATTTTCTTTTTTACGCTGGCTGCGTTTCGCCTATGATGCCATATTCAAACAATCTGTAGGACCAAACTCCCAACACAAATAAAATTTACTCTATATAGGACGCCGAGAAAATGGAATATAGGATGAGAAAACCAATAAGAGAAGGAAGGGCAATTAGATGGGATTGAAGCGCTCTCTATCTGACTCAGGTCCCAGCCAATAATAACACTTATTACTTCCCCCCCTTTTCCTCCTGCCCAATCACCCTTCTCTAAACTCGCAACTAGATTGCCGTCTCGAGGAGTACTCTCCAAGATTATTATAATTTATTCGACGGCCTCTGTTTCGGTAAGAAAACATTCATTACGGCGGGCTATGATATCCCATCATATTGGTCTGTTTGTGTAATGCAGAAATTCGGCGAATAAATTATATGCATCAGGCCTAATATAAAAAGAACTCAAGTAGAAAAACACCTTGTGCCTTGTAACTTTTTTTTTGTTGATATTTTTATTTATTGAGAGAAATACTTTATTTAAGGCAGTGCTGCCCTACCATACAGGGCTGCTCGATACACAGTATACTCATCAATCCTGTTTTTTTGGAAATAGCTCTCAATTAAATGAAAATAATAAAAATATTTGCCGCATCCAATGGCTGTAAATATTCGTGCTATTTTTAAGGAAACATTTAAGAAATAAAAAAAAAAAAAAATATTATGAAACCTTAAAATAGTTAAAATTAATTGTTAAAATACACGTTTACTTACGAAGAAAGAATTCTATTAAAGCAAATATGTTAGTAACATTTAGTATGTTACATGAGCAGGTTTTTACTATCTAATTTTTTCAATAATTTTAGAACTAAGAAATCATTAAATATTTTTAGTAATAATGTCATTCTCTCTATGATTTTATACAAGGCCCAATTTATAGATATACCCAACCTATAGAAGTGACCTTTACGGATATAGAAAAAGGCTAAATAAAAGAATAAATTCCTATTCTCGTGAGCATTCAACACAGAATGCTCGGTTCGAAAACGAATCTAAACACGATGGGTAGGCAAATAGCAGTAAAATCCTCACGAAAAGTTGTGAAATTGGACGCACGAAACCATAAAGACAGCACTCACACTAAAGAATTCAGCTATGATCGCGTGGTAAAAGAGTTGAAAATATACATAGATGAAATAAACATTAAAGTAGCAAAACTTCTAGGTCACAGCATTGGGGGAAGAACTATGATGACGTTCGCCCGTACTAAGCTAGACATGTTTCACCATCTTTCAAGATCTGGTCGTTATGTGCATCTCTCCTTACAGCCTGAGTGATAGCGTTCACAATATACCTCATATTTTGAAGTCTGAAAACTGTGAAAGTAAATAGAAACAAGAAAATACTTAACGAGATAAGAGAAGCAGTGATTAAAAGCTTGAACCTTCCATAGGAAATCCAGATTTTCTTGCGATGATACCATAATGACGTTTATTTGGAAGTTAAACATATAAACATTAATAGACACATTAGTATCAATAATCAATTTCTCCAAATATCAAGGTGTACACTAAGCCCACAATTTTTCTATGTGAAAAACTTTCAGATTATTTAAAAACAAAAAGATTAACTCAAAATATTTAAAAAAAAAATACTGTGGGGAATTTGATATGGTTCCACCGATCCACACAAAATTATTAAGGATTTAGGGCTCTCTCTGTACGCTGCACGAAATAGTACAAAACCGACCTCCACAAACAAGTTAGAACCAAAGATATAAAAAAAGTATTTACTTATTTAGAAACATAATAATCTGTCACATTGACAATAATTATAGTGATATATGAATACATTGAGACCATATATATAGAAAATATAAAATTAACAAAAGTAAAATAATAACTAAATAATAATCAAAAGCTATGTACAATAAAAAATAAAACAAGATAAAGATAAGTAAATTAAAAACATAAAAACACAGTCATACCTATATACAATATATACAATCAGGTAAGGAACCCAAAGCCAAGCTTCTCCCTGCAACTGTAGAAGGAAAAGTACAGTGGAAGTATGTGTGAGGTAATGGCACAACTGAACTTTGATCGTACATTGATTTAGGGCAGATCTGCTCAGTACAGCTTTTGATTAAATAAAGTATTTGAGAATGTCTTCGCCTTATGGTTCTTTATTCGCATTTTTTTTTAACTCTATTAAAAAGTGTGACATTAAGTTGTATTCTGTAAATGATCTTGAATACAAAAACATATGTTTCATAACTACTTAATCAGAAATAAAAGTGATCTATTTACGAAGTCATCCCTCAACGATAATTACGATTCCTTCTAAAAAAGTATAGATCGTTAATGACGAAGATTTATAACTTTGGCTTTTAAAATTATTACCAATTATGAGGGCTTGTTAAAACATATTTTATCAAGTTTATAGCCTGCCAGTGCATGCTAGACATGTCTTATTCTATAAGAAATCTCTGGCTTGATTGGCTAAAGAAAATGTAATGATTTTTTTCGTGTGAACTATATTTTCTCATTGCTGATATTTTTTCATCCAATAGGATTAGCAACTAAAAAAAAATTACAAAAAATATTAGGATCTGATTAGATGCTAGTTAGAGGGTAAATTTGTTGCAATTTTTTATGAATTTTTTTTTAATTTAAATTAATAAATATGTCAAATTATGGTTGAATTTTTGTCACCGATGTGTTAAAATTAGGTTCAGAAAATTTTATGATTAACATGACAATACTCTAGCTGTAGTTCTAATAGATAGAGCAAAGGTTTACAAAAATTATGAGATCCGTTTTTTTGTTTACATACTTATCACGATGTGTTGCAGTCGATTCTGTTCTTAATACGTTAGTTTTTATTTATAATTTATTTAATACAAAAATAACACAAGTTTTCGCAATCAAGAACAGAACGTATTAGATTTATTGACACCAGATAATGTTTACAACTAGTGCAGTAATGAGAAATTCAATAAGTCTTGACCATGTACGATTTTAATTCAATGAGTTATCTTAATAAAAGTGGAATTTTGGGGAGGGGAGATGTAAAATCAATCCCATCAGTAAAATGAATTCACGTTGAGAGAGGATGATCTTTTCTAACAAGATATATTTGATTCAAATTTTTTTTTATGTTTAAGCACGTAAAAGGTTTCAAAACTCCAGTTTTTTTTTCTGTTAAATGTATGAGGTTGGTTTAATCTTAATTAAACCTTAAATTTATATTTCTTTTACGTCACCAGTATGGTGGAAATATTTTCTGTGACCAGTTCCTTTTGCTTAGGGCAGATGGAATGGAAAATTTAGTAGTTTTTAATTTACTCTCAAAACTCATTTATGCTATGCTCTCAGCTGATAATTTTGTATTTTATTACGATATTCAATATGAACAGTATATTTTTCGAAGATGTAAAATCATTTAATCAACTCTTCTCGCCCCTCTCCCTCTGCATGAAAAACAGATAATAAGCGTTCAAATTTAAAAATTTTTTAATTCTCTCACATCTATGGGTTAAATTTTATAACGACTTTATGTACTAGGAACTTTCAGACAGTATCATTAATATTATATATTGAAATCAATCGTGATGTTATACTTTTTTTTCGCGGAATCTCGAAATCTGTAAAAAACGGGAAATGTTCCAAATTATAGTTGGCCATTCATCAGAAATGAATTTGATTTACTACTGCAATAACTATTGCATCATTCGTTTTTATATTCATGTATAATATAACTTATATGTATATTTTGTTATTTATCTCTTCTTTTCTCTCACCCGCTGACCCTCCCTCTCCCTTCTCTCCCCCCCCTTTCACTCTCATGAACTAATCTACTTGTTCATAGTAAATAGCTTTGATTATATATTCAATCGATTTTTTCTCCTTGTGTAAGACATACGCCTACACTTTGTGCAAACCTTGGACTGAGTGTCAACATAACACGGAAAACATTTCTCATTCCCAGCTTACAAGTTTTTCTTCTTGTCCGTTTGTTTGTCCGTGACACTGTTTGATCTATTGCTTGATGATTATTTAACTTGGTATAACATAGTTTTTTAATTTATTTTAATTGAGTACCTTTTTTTTTACCTCTGAATTTTGAATGCAGGAAACGCTGTATAATTAATTAGTTATCGGGTCTAAGTGTGCCAATAGAATTCAGAAATTTGTTGTGAAATGGACAAGAATCGTTATTATTAATTATTCTTAAGCTCAACTTGTCTCAACACGAGTAATCTGTATTTAATAATTGTGAGAATTTTATTAACGCTATATTTATTGGTCAATTGCAATAATCAATGTTCAAGTGACTTCGAAATTTTTATTCAACTTTTTGGTTGTTGTCACCAAAGGAATGAGATTCTAAACATTTTTAACATTCCACTAAATATTTCACAATAGTTCGTTTGAATTCCTTTCATTTGTGCAAGTTCATGCTATTTTTCACTTTTTTACCTTTACTATTTTACTAATACATATCAACAATAATAGTTGACGATTTTGTTGAATGAAGAACCTAAGGATTAATTAGGAAACACCTGAACCTATCCTTGATTTTCCGTTTATTTTCGTCATCTAGGTTCTTCACAGCTGTTTATCATGACAAGAGTCTCTGAAGTTTCACAAAACTTAGGTACTCTTTGCAAAGTGTCTTTTTTGGACAATCGAAAAAGAGTTATTTGGCATGGATATGTGTGATTTAATTCTAGTGATCCCTGTTTTGGTGAAAAGTAAAATTGTTCCATGGATTTGTGCTTGGGTTTTTCCAATTAAATTTGTTCTTAAATTATCTTAGGTTTACTAATAATATTACCTTGTATTATATCCTAGTTGATAGAGCAAAAGGACAATTTATAATGGATCCGTCAGAAGATATAACAATAAACAACCTGGTTTTGAAATTTAAAAAATATGTACAGTTATATGAAGTGAAACATGATAAAAAGCGTTATAGTGCTTGTTCGATGAGAACTGTTCCACAGTGTAAAATGTAGATACGTAGAAGAAGCATGTATATTTATATCAGAAGGACGTTTGGTTAAGATTATCCTCTCGAAATGTCAGTGGGAGGAAAGCTCGAAATGTTAAGAATAGTTTACAGATCGTAGAATCAGTATAAGACTTTCCAATTTTACGATTTTTACTGGGTTTTTTTTGGGAGAGTTTTTCAGTAACGTTAGGGATTGAGCGCTGATCGTACTATATGATACGACATCCTGAGCCCTCCGCTAATCCATATGTATAAGGGTATCAATAACCGATCCCGCCCATAATCCACCAACATAGAGAGAGATCTGTTTATGCAGTCGCTGAAGACATTATGAGAAGCTCGGACAACTGTTTTGTTTCATTAAGGGCGGATTTGTATAGGAGGGCCCGAAGAACAATGCACCCTCGAGAGGAGATATATCTCTCATCCAGTTCTTTTTCTCCCCTCCTGTTTAGCTGTGCACTTTTTATCCCGGTCCTCCTTTGGCCGGGTTTTTTGCTGACCGTCTGTGGTAACGTCTGCTCCGTTTTGCATACTCACCGAGTGTCCCTCAATCTTGATTTAGCGACCGACCCGCTTTGTTATAGTCTTTCGAATTAATTATTTCTCTCTTTGCTGTCCTCGTACTCTCCTCTCCGCACTCTCCGCCGCCCAGCCCCTCTCTTCCAAGGACCAGGATAAAAGAAGAGTATGAATATTCTAATTCGTTCCTGATATAAATCTGGAACACTTATCACTCTGTAATTGATCCAGGAACCAGTGGCCTTGCCCGCCTTTATTTCGAATATATTTATAAATAATTAATGAGGGAATGAGTATTTTAGGTCGAGTCGTACATTTCGCTAGTGATGTAGTAACATTGTTTTGGTTAGTATTCAATACAAAAAATTGACAGCTTAACAACTCTAAGAAGTAGAGTATGTATGATTAAGATTTTTTTATCACATTTTAGAAAAGCTTACTAATAAATAAAATAAGAACAAAATGGATATAAAAAATCATTTTTTTTAATCCTTTTTTAATTATATAAAAACTTCTTATTCTCCTAGTAGTCCTAAACAGAATCAATAAGTTAAGTTATTTCTAAATATTATAATACTCAAAAAAAGATCTCCAAATGTTTTATGTTTATAAATTTCACCTTTGTAAAAGTATTTTAAAAAATCAGGAAAATTTGTATTGAATGAAACTTGAAGAAGGTGAGTAGCAACTTCGTATTGGTACCTAATAGGAGGCATAATGCTTATAAGGCTGATAAGTCATCAGTTATGCGGTTGTACATTTATTACACATTGATATAAAAATACGAAAATATACAATT